GCTTCGGCCTCGATCCATTTGGTGAAGTAATCGATGGCTACGATCACGAACTTCTTCCCTCCTTGGGCGACTGGGAATGCTCCAATGATATCAACCCCGAACCTAGCGAATGGGATGACATTCGATACGGGGTGATAGTAGGTTGCTGGTCTACCGGGGTACTTGTAGAACACTTGACATGTTCTACATTTCTGTACATACCTCTCACAATCCTGGACAATCGTTGGCCAGTAATACCCCAACAAGATAATGCGCTGGGAAAGCGTACGGGACATTTGATGCGCCGCGCATACGCCTTCGTGGACTTTCGCTATGACTCGCTCAGCCTCCCAGCTGGTTAGACATCTCAGGAGTGGCCCCCCAAATGCCCTTTTATACAGCTTTCCATCGAGAATCTGGAGTCGGGGTGCCCTGAGCTTCACTTTCCTTGCCCGGTCATCTTGTTCTGGCAAGCTCCCATCCGTCAGATATTCCATCAGATCACACATCCAATGGTCGTCCGCCCCGACCAAGTTTGACCGGTCAAACTGGCTTCCGGCAGTTATAGCGGCGACTTCCAATTTCTCGATGCTTGACCAGTCAAGGATCTCTACCCGGGCAAGTTTCGAAACATGCTCGGGAGCATACTACGTCAATTTGGAGAGAAGGTCTGCATCCGCGTTCTCTGCCCGGGGAATTTGGGCGATCTTGAATTCTTCGAAGCCTTTCAACAGGGCAAGTACAAGGTCCTTGTATTGTGCCATGCGTCCTTCCCTTGCTTCCATGTTACCGGTCACCTACCCTACTATCAGGCTAGAGTCATATTTGATACTGACCCGGCTGATTTTCAGGGCTTGGGCAAGTCTGAGCCCTCCAGCCAGAGCTTCATATTCTGCCTCATTGTTCGTCAGCTTGAAGTTGAAGACGATTGCATGGTAGATCTTGAACCCTTCCGGGGTGGTGAACACGATACCACCCCCGTATCCTCTAGGACCGGATGCCCCATCAACTGCCATCTCCCACCATTGCTCAGTGGGCTTGTTGACCGGTAAGTCTGGAGTTAGACCGGTCATTTCTACTAGGAAGTCAGCTAGGGCCTGTCCCTTGATTGCTGACCTTGGCCGGTACTCAATGTTGAATTGAGTTAACATCATTGCCCACTTCACCATCCTCCCGGAGGATGTTGAATTTCGCAACACTGCACCCAGTGGTTGGTCAGTTAAGACTTCTACCGGGTGAGCTTGGAAGTAGGATGTTAACTTTTTTGCGGAGATGAAAAGCGCATAGGCTGTCTTTTCCATTGCCGTATATCTACTCTCAGCCCCGTTTAGTGCTTTGCTCACATAATAAATGAGCTTTTGTGCCCCATCATCTCTTATTAAAACGGAGCTTACAGCATTTGGGGAAATTCCCAGGTACAGATACAGAGTTTCACCCGGTTCGGGTTTAGACAATACAATATCCGACGCTAGGTACTCTTTCAGCTCTTCGAATGCCCTCCGACATTCTTCGTCCCATGCAAATGCGTTGGCCTTCTTCAGAACTTTGAAGAAGGGTAGGGATCTCTCAGCTGACCGGGAAAGGAACCGGCTGAGGGCCGCTAAACGACCGGTCAACTTTTGAACATCCCTAACGGAGGTATTGATAACTCTTCAAATTGAAAGAAGGTACCTCTTCATTTATCTTCACTACTCTTCCAATGCAAAGCACTACGTATAAGAGAAGGGAAGGTAAATTTAAGTACTCCGTATTTTCGATTTATCAAGTAGCAACGCCAATTTTAACTAAATTCTCAAAAGTTCCTGGAAAGGCCAGACTGACACCTATTCCGATAAACGTTGTGGAGAGCGCGCGTTCCGAAACGCAACCAACCCAAAAATCCAAAGGGAAGTTCGTGCGCAATAAAGACTCCACGAGTCTGGTGGCAAAGCGAGCATGGACACTGGCGGAGGAAGAAGCGTTGGCTCGGGCGTGGGTGAACGCTTCTGAAGACCTGATTAATTAAAATTTAATATTTTACTTTACAATTCTCTTACAAGTTTCATAACACCCTGAAATATACCATAAAGTTAAATAAAAAATTTCTAATAAAATGTATTTCTAATTTTTGTTTAGATCAAAATAAAAAAAAGTAGTAAAAAATAGAAACGTTAGTGCTTAAAATAAGAGATCTTCAAAGTAATCTTTTATTTACAAATTTATACTGGAATTGAAGGTCTAAGAGACGAGTTCAACAACGTATTCCACATGTGAATCCGAGTTATAAAAGATAGAGATTTGACCATTTCAAAACCAAAAAGATTATAAAGAAAATAATAAAATTCAAATATAACGTAGGAATAATATTATATAACGAATTTTAGGTTTTTTTGGATAGGACTCTTGAAAAGATGACGAATGACATATTGTTTATCAAGTTTGAAATTTTGTATAAAAAATTATAAGTGAAATAGATATTACAGTTAAATAAATAAAAATAAATTTTAATAATAATAATAATAATAATAATATAGGCCGGTTCTCATGACATTGAGAATCAATGTCATGGGATGACCAGGGGTGCTCTGGTGCCCCGTTCGTAAAATTGACAGTTCATATCCCCCTCTCACTTCCCCGGTAAAACCCCCACTCCGCCCCGACCCGAACACCCCCCCATACCCCTTCAGTAGCACCCCAAGTTAAATTGGTCACGTAGTAGATATAGGCAAATCTAAGTTAAATTGAGTATTGGAAATCACTAGTAGAATTGGAATAGAAAATAAGGTTATGCGAGTGTCATCGTGCACCTGATAGTTTCGAGGGTTAAAAACGTATGTACGGAGGTCAGTGATCCCTGGTGAGAACGAGTGGGGATCTCAACCCCCTCCATTGTGAGAATTTAGAGCTTGAGCGTGTGTTCATGT